CCAGCCAATCTGATTCATTAATCTGAGATACGGATGGATGGTGTTCCTAAAGAGTAATCTAGTTCACATTGAAGATAGCAGTGTATTATTCGTAATGGTGTAAAATACTTGTTCCTGTGGAACACAAATCACATCGGTCCCACACACAGTCTCAACGATGCTTGTGTTCGGGTCGTTTGACCCGAGTGAACCGCGGGGAAACTCAATCCACTCGAGGTGGCTTTTTCAGAATCCGCTCTTACACTGGGTTTTATCCCCTCTGCCGTATTCGCCGGAGTGTCCCATCTAAGCCGATTAAAAAGCGCTTCCTTTCCACAAGTGAAGCAGTTGGAATCCGTCTATATGCCCTCCACCCACACTCGATAAATTGAAAAAGTATTTGTATGTCAGTGAATCGCTGATATCGTCCCCCCGCCCCTTTATCCTGGCATTGCACGAGTCAGTTCTCCACTTTATTCCATTTGAACATTTGGGTCTAGACTAAATCTTGATTGCGAGACAAACCGAATTCGGTTTGGGGCAATTTAGTCAGTGAAAACGTAAGTGTCACTTCTTTGGTTTCTGATCTGTTAGTTCATTTTATTCTATACAAACCATGTAAAACGAAATGTTAATGAGTAAATGAATCCCAGTGAACTAGCTTATTTGCTGAATTCTTTTTTCACAGCGTTCTTCCCTCAGTTCCCGGAAAAAACTTACCCCATGAATATTTACCGTGGTTACTGTAGAACAGCTAGTAGCCCTAACGTGAGGAATTACAGCGGCAACTATACAATATTTTCGCGGGACACAGTAAATCTGTATTTGTTTATTACACACATTTGTGTGGTGAGCAGCAGACGGGGCGAACCCCATAGTTACGAAGAACTGCTACTCCATCATGGAAACCGCTAACCTAAGCCCTGGGACTTGGAGTGGCGAACCATATAAGGCCCCTATAGACTAAGCTTGGAGCAAAGTAAGAGGAGTAGGCTTACTGGAGTGAGTGAACACACGCTGAATGACTTCGACCAACAGAACACAGTGGTTACTGCGTCACACACCCCATTTTGACCCGTCCTTTGTGATAGTAATTAAAAATGAGAACCTTCTGACGGTGTAACAAGCCAGTTGGCACCAAAATTAGTCTAACCCCAACATGGAAGAAAGAAAAGACTCATCCTGTTTTGTTGTTATTAGCGATTTTTAATTCAAGGTTTCCACGTTCAAGAAGCTTATGCAGAGCTACAGGTCACACTGATCAACCGGCAACGCAAACAGTGAAAGGGATTTTTAACACAGCTACCATGCACATTTTTCTAACGTCATGCTCAAAAAGTGTCAAACTGTTATTCTGGTTTAGAGCACTACGAGGGTTAAAATCCTGGGACAATTTGCGGAAACGGAATCATGCTTCCAGTATACTCAATTCACTGTTGAACTGAGTCTTGCACGTGCTCCAATTCCAAAGGAATGGTTTTCTTTCATTTGCTCGTTACGACAGATTCAATCAAAACCAACGCTCACAGTTGGAATGAACATTTTTATGATTATAAACGTTTCAGAACCACTGTTTCTTCGCAAACTACTCAAGTAACAACAAGCACGACATTTATTATAAAGTTAACAATGTGATGTTTTCTTTAGAATTTTTACAACAGGTGTGTCTGCAAACAAACAGGATCACCTTTCAAGTTGTGTATCGTGTTTTTCCGCTCCCACTGTGCTGACATCCTCCCAATCATGTTTACCGTCAGCTGTCCATCATTTCGATTCGTTTGGCTTCCAAAATTTCCGGGTGTTGCTGTCGTGCATAAAATTAGGCGTGTCGTCCATCATTGATGACGTTCTTCATTGACTTTTTTCTTGTCTGTAAGCTGATAGATTCTCCCCACTTATAACAGTCAACCGGATCCGATTTGTAGACTTAACACGCACAAAAACCCAATTCTCCTCTCGATTTTTGACATTTCATACACATTTTTCTCAGCAACCGCTGTCAATTCACTTGTTTCTCTTTAAACCCCATTCAATATCGGACACAGTTTTGCTCGTTCCCTTAGCTCTGCTAGAGTCTGACATATCCATGTCAGTTTAAAACCACTGCACATTGTTGGAACACCTGGTCATGTTTCCTCGTCTCACTCTATACTATAGCCAAACTCTTTGTATGCGTCGTTGAGTGGTTTTCTGTCTATGACGGTGATGTCAGTGAATGACACACGAAAGTGTTGGTCTTGTGCCTTCCTTATTCGTTTAGAAATTGTAGACATTGTCATGACAACAAAATCCCCAACTCATACCACAGACTATGGAACTTATTGAATGTTGCACAAACACAATGCTTTGTATCGGTTCGATTGAGTAGTATTGCCTGTTTGAGAGAGAGAATGGCTGGTAGACAAGGCCGACAGAACACCTATTGTGTTGTGTACTGGCCGAATAGCCGCAACGGTACGTGTCCCTGACGCTTTATTTTGATTGGTTCTCTTTTTAGTAAATGCTGTATTTCCGCGTTTGTGAAGCAAATAGTACAATACAGTAGGACCCACCACATTTAATGCAAAATCAGATAAGAACACGAACCATGGAGATTTTGAATTTTTCTGAGCACTCAGCATCGTCGGTAGCTCGCGATAATGAGTTCGTGCGCGTGCGCATACAGATGCAGCTGACAGCAGCACCAATGTAACAATTCTTTGTTAAATCGATGCCCATCGGAATGATAGTGCCCATAAAAAAAATGTGCGACTGCATTTTTCTGCGTGTGCGTATGTGTATGTACCTTTGTGTCTGCAAACACAAGTTGATGAATCGTGGGACGGAGCTCGTTACCTCATTTCATGCAGTTTGACTGTTGGATATGATCAGCGACATTGTTTCTGAATATCTTTTGCATAGCCCTGATTCGTTTTGAGTTTTGCCACCCGTTGTATTTTAGTTCCAAGCTGCTTTTCATGACAACTTTCCAATATCCAAAGAACTACCCTCTTTTTGTGTTCATAAACTAGAGTTTTGCGGGTGATTTTATAACCGAACAAGTTGAGTGGTGTTGCGTAACCCTCCTTCTTCTCATCCCATAGGGTCTTCAAACTACCACGGGNTTCGCCCCCCCCCCCCCACGCTGTATTTTTTCGGTGAAAGCTTATCTGCGTTCTGCCTTTCTCTTTCTCTCTCGCTACCACCGAATACGCTTTTCAGTTTTATTCTACATGTTTTATGCATGATTACATGTGTGCAGATCGGAGTGCTTACTCCACTTTTTGTCATAGAAAATTAGTTTCATCATCCCGTATTTTGAATCGGACAAAAACGTTGACCGATTAGGTGGTCATCAGTGCATACGCGTCGTTTGATATTGAATTTCATACAGTGTGCATGCCNAATGTGGCATTAAATGAAATAAAATACCTCATTGTTGGGAATGTTTCATTACGCGAATTTATGGTATGCTTCACATTTTGTTCCTTAACCCCACTATTTAATCCCTCAGGACGCGGCACAGCTGCTGTTTGAAACGTTCTCCGCCGCGCAGCAACGCATTGTTTCCTGCACAACAGGATTAACCACGCTTTGTGTAGCGCTTATTCTTCCCGTGGATGAGACCGTGTCAGCTCTATCCCCGTGTCACTCGTCGAAATCCGGTTCCCTCTCGTCCTCGTCCACATCAGTCAGTACCCACTCGGGTTCCGCTTCGGAACAATCACCAACCCACGGAAAACACGAACCTGCCAAACGATTTGCATTGATTATGGTCAGTGTCGGTGATTCTCAAGCTTTTCTATTAAGCAAATTTCATGGAATTCGTGAGGTTACGGGTTGGGTTGTACCTTCTGTTTCCATGGCACAATCGGAAGGCGATGAGCCCCGAACGAAACTGGTTCCATCCTCACCGGAAACAACAAAACGACCGTGGATTGTGGGCGGTGACGACAACCGATCCCGCGCGGGATGTCTATCTTGCTCTCCTCCGGAACGGGACTTTCGGGATGCCGGTGGTGCGTTGGGCCCGGTGTATAAAAATGGCAATCCTGAGTTGCACAATCTAATTTGTGCAGGTGAGACACCCATTGGTTGCGGAACGATTTTCCAACTGTCCTTGCTCATACTTCTCAGGTTAGGCTCTCGGAGATATTGAAGATACTCTTTCTCTTCCCACCATCTGTACTCTTTCAGGCTAAACGCTCGCTGATTACTAGTAAAACACATCATCTTCCTAGAAGTATAACTTTCATTCTCATCTCTAACATCATAAGAAGCATGGCATTATAATTGATTAGCCCAAAATCGTGTTCGATTTTGGTGTTGCGCGCATCACAGTTCTTAATTCGTTCCTTAGACAAATTATATTGACTAAGTATTCAATTGAAGCTGTTCTCCGATTACCAACTATAAGCTAACATATTTCCCATTTAGCGAAACTCATTCATATTTCTCAATTTCGATCCTACGGGTCACGTCTAGGTTCACCTGATCAGTACCAATATCGTTTCTGAGATGTGGTATCTTTGCCGACCGTGAATTATGGCTAGCTTTTCATATTTTAGTGAGTGGCATTGCCCCAGCCTGACCACCGCGCGATACAGTCTTTCAGCTTTGAGGGACATATTCTTGTTAGATCTCTGGTGTAAAAAATCGTAGAGTAAAAATTGAACAATGCATAATCATCCCTTTTACGAAGGGGCATTAAATAAGATTGTGAAGGATTTCTGTCGCGGGAACTGAAAAAGATCTTAGTGACACCTTTGATGAAAAAGGTAAAAATTCTGGTGCATGGGAAATAGCATGGGACAATCTGACAAAAAGGTCTCCTGTAACTCAGTCTCAATAAACAGTTGGCCGTTAACGGTACACCTCTGGTTTGAGTGATACTGCTCCCAATTTAAAAGTTCTCTGTTCCATCCCCGATAGTGTTATTCCGCATACATATCTATTCGAGTGAAAACACTGTTAAGTTTATTTAATTGAATGTTTTACTTCATTTTGGATGAAAATCTTTTGAACTTATTCGAAATCCTTTAAATTGCTTTGGTTCGGTCCCGAATTACGTCCTGTACACAGCCATCAATGAACCGATATAGGTCATGCGGTTTATCATGTGCAAGCATATTTGGCACCTCGAGTAGCGCACAACAGTATTCCCTTTCCTGATTTCCACCAAAGCCCAGTTGCTCTCTGAATCACCAGATTTCTTTCTTTGTTCACTTTGCATACTTCGGGTTTGAAGCAAACGAGTGAAGTGATATGCAAATGAGGTGTCAACTTCGACGCAAATGTTTTTTTAAAGCTAATTGCAATATCCGCATGTGAGAGGACAGAATATGGGTTGTATAAAGCCTATCTGGTCAGTGGTGTTAAAAATAGAAAGAAAGAAAAATTGTGTTCATATAAGACTGCCCATTTCACATGTGCTCCGTCTTCGATCATGTATGTTCACATCACAGGCAAAGAAAGGAAATAGCGGTAGTTATACGAGCTCCATGGATGTAACGGATCTCACTGAAAAACGTTTTTCTTTTCCAATTTATCTGGCTGGGTTGTTTGCTGTGGCACCACTTTCTCAGTTCCTGTTTCTGCACCATTGAGGTCTGATAAAATCCCGTGCAGATATATGCAACTCTACGAAGTGTCAATTCTTCACTATGCGCTTACACCCATTGATGAAGTGTATAATATTTATAAACCTCTTTCTCCAATGTTCGTATTGAAAAACTTTATTTTATTCCTGTCAAGGTGAGGTTTTTAATGGACCCTTTGATCATATAAGTGGGTGAAGAATAATGCTTAACCATTCATTTGATTCATTCCCAAAACCATTGCCATATTTTGGCCAATACTTCAAAGACCTCTTTTTTGAAGTATGTCATATGTCGATATTTAAATTTCCGTTTCAGTTTTTAAAACCGTTAACCATGCACTTTCGTGCACCGGTTTTGGTTGCTGTCTTTTGGCCGCCCATTTCGATAAAGGAGAAGGATAAAAATTAGAATATTCAAAGCAAATTCAAGCAAAAGATAGCGATTTCAAATAGACTGAAGTTACAGGAATAATGAGTAGGTGTATGGGCGCCGCTGTTTGCGACACCCAGCCATATCACTCAGTGTCTCTAACCATCGGTGGCCATCATCCCGAGGTCCCCAGCCAGGGAGCTTAACGGGGCCCATGTGATCTAGTCTGCTGGTTAGGGTTTTCGTACCCTCATGTCAGATCCTAGTTTGACCACCCTTGATCTTTTTCCAGCCGCTACCAGCCTTGGCAAACATTGCTCGCCGCGGCAACCTATCTGGTGACATGCGTAACAAATGCCCCAAACAGCGTAATCTTTGCAGTCAGTCAGCCACTTGCTCCAGTGGACTACCGTGAATGCCTAAAACTCTAAGCCTAACGTCAGCATTGCTCATCCAGTTACCCCACCAGACTCGTGCAATGCAACGTAGACAGCGGTGTTCGAACACCGTCAGTCTATGTTTATCCTGACCCCGTAAAGGCCAATCCTCTGCACCGTAGAGCAGGACTGACCGAACTGCTGCAGACTCTACTCGACGCTTCAAGGACAGCTGGATGTCGCAACGACGCCACAAGTGTTTTAAGTTGGCAAATGCCAACCGAGCCTTATGTATGCGCGCCGACACTTCATCTGAAGTTTGTTTGCCAAGTGAGATATAACTGCCGAGATAGCAAAACTTGTCTACTTCTACTACTCTTCCAGTCAGAGTGAGACTGGGTGCTGGACCAACGCAAACTTGGAGCAACATTTTACACTTCGAAGGTGCAAAACGCATACCGATTATGGACACGCTAGCACTCAAACTATCCAGAAAAGAAAACGAGTCGGTGAGCGAACAATTGTTTTCGGATATTCCTAGTCATGCTCTTACATATCATACAGTGAAAAAAAAATTATCACATAACGATAGCCATTGGCTCATTTCAAGGTCAATATTCGGAGGTAGGCAGTGATGGGTGTGTGTATGTTTGTGTGTGTGTGTGTGTGGATGGGTAGGTCGGAAGGAGTTTAATGTGACCTTTAACCCTTTGGGTCAAGTGACACGTCATGTTCCATGAGCCAATGGCTATCGTTATGTAATAATTTTTTTCCACTGTATGATATGTAAGAGCATGACTAGGAATATCCGAAAACAATTGTTCGCTCACCGACTCGTTTTCTCAATGCTATTATGAGAATATCCAGAAAAGCTTGCAACCTACATGGATCTTCACTTAGTAGTACAATGTCGTCTGCATACCCTAGATCAGACAGTCTGCCACCTGGAATTAGATCGATACCGCTATCCCTGCACGAGGATAGGGCTGTTTCAAGAATTAAATCTATCACAAATTTAAATAGAAACGGAGAGAGGGCAACCCTGTCGAACACCACTTTCGGGTGAAAAAGTGCCGTAAGCTCGGACTCGGCTTTGGCCATTAGTATAAAAGGATTGTAAGATAGAAATAAACTTCTGGGGCACACCCTTTAGAGCGAGGCAGTGCTAGAGTTTAGAGCGGTCGCCTGAGTCGAAAACCGCTTTCAGATCGAGGAAGATAGAAACGAATGTCGATGCTCCAGAATTTGACGGAGAGTGAAGATGTGGTCAATACCACCTCGACGAGCTTTGAAACCAACCTGGTTTCCACGTGTGCACTGTTCGCTTGCAAACGAAATAGATTGCAACTATTACCGATAGCCGCAGCCTTCTCCATCTATCTACAATTTCCTACCCACCACTTCTCGCGTTGATGAGCTGGCGTTTGAGGGATTTGCGCGCTTCGTCGTATTTTGAATCCGAAGGAATGGCTCTGAGAGCGTCCCGCTAGTTAACCGAGGTCGGAGTGTACCATCGCTTTTTATTTGATCATGCGCCAGAATTTGCCGTTGTTTTGATCGAAGTTTGGATCGCTTCTTCGATTGTCGTCCAGTGTTCATTGAGTCCTTCGGTTGGTGGTTGAACTGAGAGACGATCAGAGAGTCCAGCTTCGAAGGCCGATTTACAACCGTTGATCATACTATATTGTGGGCATCCGTTTTCGGTGGCTTTTCGGCAGTTGTTTACTAACCGTGGGGAGAATCTCGTTCGTAGCATAGCATGGTCTGTCTTCAATGGATCCTCGCCAGCGGTGGCTGAGGGCGATGTGGTTGATTTGAGTCCAGAGCCGTGAAGTGGTTGGCGGTCTCCGTATAAGGCGACGCCGTTTCTTGTGCGAAAATTTGGCGCTTGATAAAAACAGTCCGTGGTCAGCGCAAAGTTGGAGAAGGCGTTCTCCGTTGTCAGTCCGGTTAGCTAGGAGTGCATTTGAACCACCAAGTAGCTTTTCTGATTCGTCCAAGGATCCCAGCGACTACAAAGATGTCCGTTGATCGAGCACCTTGGAATAGTTCAGAACGGTCTTTGTAGAATTCAGCCTTCATTTCTGGTGAGCTGTAATCAGTTGGTGCATAGGTGGATACGACGAACAAATATCGACGCTTTGTTCTGTAGCTTTTGACTCGTACTGAACCATCCAGACAGCGCAAAGTCGGCTGCTAACCAGGATCCAGTCGAGAAGTGAACGTTACGCCTTTACGCTTAGCGCAATCCCAACACCGCGAGCTTCAGATGCCAACTCGCCTGACACACAGATGGTGAAGCCTGAGGATGAGGTTCGATCAGGAGAACGAAGGGAGATAGATAAAGTAAGGTCTTGTATGCGTGTTTCGGAGACAGCATACGTCTAACCGTGGTTTAAATATTTTATGAAAATCAGACCAATGGATTTAGATATTTTTCCGCGCGCGCGAAAGAGAGTATGACTCATTTTTGCCCCGCCCATCCAGACAGTATGTTAAAATATCACTGGGACACGCACAAAGGTACATGCTTTATCTTTTGCCATTTGTCGTGTTTTATGGGAAAGAGAAAAACGCCCTCAGTCCCGATATGTCTCCGAAATTACTGGTTGTGATTCGATAATCATGCACGTCAATGTTATCGATTATGCAAACATACTGTTCGTACAAATTGAACGGTAGCACGATCCAACGACTGGGCTTGTTTTTTACAAACGATTTACTGTCACAGTT